AAACTGAAATTATTCTGATGTCAGTCTTGCACAAAGTTATTATGCTCGTCCTTAAGTTTTGACCTCTTTTTCTTATAATTGTCGACCTGGTTGGTTTTGCATTCATTTGTTTTTAGTCGGGTTATCTCTTTCAATGATGTTTTCGTCAATTTCCATCTCGTCTATGTTGAATATTTCTTCTTCTTCAACAAAATCAGAATCTTGGTCGAGTTGTTCTTTTTGCGTAAGTGTTGGACTTCTTTTTCTATCGTGTTTGCTTCTTTGTCAGTTAGATTTCGTCGACATTGCCGGAAGTGTTTGCACCGACCTTTTTTCGCCAACTCTTTTGTGCAAGTTTTTCGATCCACCTTTATCGAATTGAAGATTTTTCTACACAAGCTTCTGGTCAACTTTAGGTTTAATATTACAGAGATGAGAATTGTATATATCTACTTATATGTTATATACATAGTTACAGGTTATAAACCAAGTATAAACAGAATTTTGGTTGAGCAAAAAAAAAAAAAGTAATTTAGTATGTATAATTTTCTATTTACATCCTGAGATCGCTTATAATATGTTTTACACATCATCATTATACAGATTGCAAGTATAAAATTAAGTAGAAATATAAAAAAAAGTGTAAACAGAATCCAGACATTACAATTGTGGTTAGATAAATGTTTTGTAAACAAAAATCAATATATACAGAATATATACTGAGTGCAAACGCAATATATACTAGAAATATTCTTTTGGCCAGTGAAATTGACCATCTCCCTTCTCTCCACATCGCCGCCATCTTATCCGGCGACATCCGCCCCGCCATCGCCAATTTCTACTCAAATATTACTTTCATCCCTTGTTCCCTCCTCTCGCCTCTGCCAAACTCATCGGCTTCAAGAAGAGCGAAAAAAGAGCCAACATGGACCGTCTCAAGCCCTTGAAATCTCCTATGCAAGATCCTCCACCTCCGATACCGTCTCCCTCGCCGATCAAGCAGAGGACGAAGCTGATCGGGCTATCGCACTCGACCCGAACGATTCCGCTTCGCACATCCACACGCCCCTCGTGCTCGATCTACAAGGTTTCAGGACCTGCCCTCGGCTCACTTGACGTCGTGGTGTCCCCTGTCGACAGTGAGGTCCTTGAGCGATGGCGAGAGGGGGGATGTTGTGTTCAATTGAGCGAAACTTAGGGTAGCGTTGGACAACGGAGGAGCGGTGGAAGATCTGGTGGAATCGACGAGAGAGGGGGGTGCTCCGTGTTTTTTTCTTATTGTAATTTCCTTCAGTTACAATAATTAAGAAACACACGTTTTTATTTTCGTAACTGATATTATGCATTTTCCTAATTATTTTCTTGTAATTTAGTATTAATGGTATTTTTTCTTCCTCGTAACAAATCACACAAGCAAGCGTGTAAATGGCAAAAAAAAAAAAAAAAAAAGTTCTCAAGTTCTTTTGGACTTGAAGTTAATTTTCAAACTTGATTTATTGATGTGAAGCAAATTTCTAGGTTGTTTTTTTTTTTTTTTTTGCCTCATTAGTGATAATTAAATTGTGCTTTTAGAATATTAATGTGCTTTTACAGTACAACTGAGTTAATTTTTTTTAAGGATACAATGACGGTGTGGAATATTGTTGATATCATTGGGAGGATCCTCCTAGATGAATGAGAATAATACACCTTTCGGTGTTAGTCATCAACGAATATGAGAATTACAAAACTAATCCTCTCATCGATAGCGGAAGCTCCCAGATGATAAAACAATACAAAATGATACATAGCGCCCAACTCGAGCAACCACAAGATATATGATTGTCAATACCCTCAAACGCCGTTGAACGCCACAATATATAAAGAATTGTAAAACAAGACATCAATACGGTTCTCTAATATTTCCATGAGGCACAACCCCTCATGAATCAATATAAATCCTCGAGCACTCTCGAAAATTAACTTTTCCAGAGATATTTTCTACCTCGTAATTATTTCCAAGCCCAATGTTTGCCAAGTAAATATTAGGGGAAAAATTGTTTATTTACTACAAGATTTTAAATATATTTCATTTATACGAGAGGTGAGATTTTATTTGCATGCCTACCAATTGAAGTGCATTTATTTAGGCTGAATAAAAAACTTATGATACCAAAGTAAGCCACTTTCCTACAATCACGCCTCTATAATAGGATTGCACTAAAAAATACAATGACCCGACTACCACCACATACCACCACGTTCTCTTCTCTTAAGTTCTTTCTTCTCTTTTTCTTTTTGTTGTTTTAATCGCGGGCCCTCTCTGAGCCCGCCTTCAGTAGAGCCAGTCTGGCATCCATCTCAGCCACCATGGACTGACCACCGAGATCTGCTGGCCGATGCCTTCTTTATATGTTGTTTACATATTTTTTCTTCCCCGCGTCTGACAATTGGCAGCCATCGCGACCACCGCGTTCCGATCACCGCGGCGCAACAACCACCTTGTTCGTTTTTTGTGGCGTGTGAAGAAGAGAGAGAGATAGGGATGAAGAGCAGAGAGAGATAAAGATAACCAAAAA